CCCACATGCCATGGGYAGGGACACTTCACTARACCAGGTTGCTCAGAGCCCCACCCAACCTGGCYAAGAACATTSYYRAGGATGAGACATCCACAGCTTCTCTGGGCAACTTGTTTCAGAGCCTCAATTTGGGAATTGTTTGGTTAGGATATGAGTATTTTTAGTAAAAATTTCCTTTATTTCTKCAGATTCTGAGTTTCCCACACAGCAGAATTCAAAATGGGAAGAGAAAACTGTTTCAGGAGATTTCTGAGTAAGATGGTGGCCAGTGGCATGAGAATGTCCAATTATTAAAAAACTAGTCTATCTACACTCTTCCTAAAGTSTAGAACATATTAGTAAAGACATATTTTGGGTTGACATATATAGGGACTTAGCTAAAAACTAARTTTTTTTAATTCACCTATTGCTCRGTCAATTACTTGCAAATCCATTTAGAGAGACTTGTCACAGCTAGAAACTTATGTGGGGTATAAAGCAAGGGCTGAAGTGGAGCTCAGATAAAAGCTTGGTGGACTCACAAGGCACACTATGTCCAAAGCAAAAAATTAGACTTGACATGATGCAAAAAAAAAAATAAAAATAAAAAATCTGAACATTACCAAATTAATTATTGCAGCCAAAGAGTTCATATTAATCTTATCTCTGGATTATCTGTTAGCTCCAAAATGCAACTGTGTGCTGGGACCTCTGGATTTCCAATCAAGCAAAACTATACTTGCATAATCCTCAGTAGCTATTGGAGAGATGATTGCTTAAAGGACATACACGAGGAATTGCAACTCAGGCAAAATGGGATTAGACCCATTGCACACCAGACTGCTCAGTGCTCTGTGGTTGGATAATAAGGATACACTGAGATGGATCAAAATTGTGTTGGTTTGCTAACTTGAACTGCACCTACATACCTAATAAAATTTTAGGCTTCCTTTATTTGGAGAAGYATTCTTCAACTCATTAATTTGCACTTACTTTAAACTGCACATCTTCTTTACATAGTGGAAAAAGTCTTACAGAGTGGAAGTCTGTAAACATTTGAACTCCCAACCCCAAGTCAAGACACAGAATCAATAAACAGCTGACTTTTAACTTGGTACTGATATTTTGGGAAATGTAACTCATTCCCATATAACTGGCCCAGACTGATGGGTTTGGGAGAAATTCAAATATTCCTGCAGTAAACAGCCACTCCACATGCCAGAATAACATTGGAGATTTTTGCTAGATGGCTGGCAGTGGAGACGTGTGCAAACTGACAGGTGTATTCCTATGAGAGATTATAAAAGCTACAATACAAAAAAAAGCCATGCATGAAGACATGTGGAGCATGACAAATAAAGTCCTTCTGGATGAGGGAAGTCTGGCTCTGGAGAGACAGTTTTACAGGGCTACTGAAGCAGAACTGGAGAAGGAGAAGCAGAGACACATCTCAGTACACACCTCTGTAAACTSATGAATATACCACACAGGAGAGTCAAGGTCAAGGCAAGAGGTACCAGTATTTCTTCTCAGCAAAGGGCAAACTCCATTTCTGCTGGCTGTAAGAAATATATCTGTGAAATTTTAAAGATGGAGTTAGAAACTTAGGGAATGCTGACAGAAGATTTTTAATTTTTTTTTTATACAGCTGTGAATTTGTACTGAACAAAAATTCTCAGTCACTCATGTTATTGTGACCTGGATTATAAAATATAATTGAGATTATAGTTGTGCAATGACATTCTCTGCCCCTCAGATGGGGCCTGGCTCTCATTCAAGGACTGTGAATGCTCAAGCCTCTCAATAAGGGCTCATGCAAACAGCATCTTTCTACTCTTTAAAGGTTTTTGTTTTACAGCAAACCTACATTATTGTCTTTTCTTGTTTTACAGTGGCAGAGTCACTCAGCCATTGCTCAGCCACTTGCCTGCCTGGGGATAATGAAGTATCCTGGAGAAATCTCCCTGAGCAGTAAAGAGGGGTCTTTTCTTTTCTGATTCAATATTTCCAGTGTTTCCTGTATTCGAGCCAAAAATGCTCAAGTTAGATGAACCCATCCTTCCAAATTTTTAATAATACTCAAAATTTGAATTGATGCTAACTTCATCCCCATTTCATTTTGCAGAAASCAGAGGAAAAGGAGGTGGAAGGGAATATATATGTCTACTATGAAAAATTGTGTGCATGTAGCATCAAGGTTTAAGCAGGCATGGCAGGTAACATTCAAGTGCAAGCTTTTACTTCCATTAAGAATTTTCTTTTGGATCAAGTAGAGGGAGATTGCGAAAATCATAGCACTTTGGCTCATAACAGTCTATAATTTMATTTTCTCTGAACAACCAGATGATTATTCTTTTGTGCTTCGCTAATTGTGGCCCACCAAAGGCACTTGAGAGATTTACTCAACTCACAGAGAAAGGGTTTTTATCCTGCCTGGAGCAACTGACGTTTTCTCTTTAAAAATCACCCACAGTGGATGAAGAGGGGAATTAAAATTTTCAGAAAGAGTGATGACTATGACCACTGGTACTGTTTTATATATATGTATATGCATGTGTTTACCTGTCTCATTCCTGGGCACCCTTAAACAGAGTTCACTTAGAGGAGAAAAAGGGAATTTAATATATAAATAAATGTCAGAAAGCAACATATCAGTGTCCTTCTTCCCCATACAATATATGCCTTTCCAGAGCATAATTCCCCTGAATAGGAGTTAGAAAAGCTTTTTTTCAGCAATAAAGCCWCTCCAACAGGCACCAGGAACCCCCACGGTCAAGGTCAGAACATGCAGCAGGGCAGGCAGTCAGGAGCAGTCTGTGCTTTGCTTTGATCCCAGCGGTTCTGGTGCTCAGAGCTGTGAATGGGCTGCCAAGACAACCCCAGCAGGCCTGAGAGAGATGCCTTAGTCCTTCAGCAAAGTTGTCTGAAATGGTGACCCCTGGGCAGAGAGTGCTGCCAACCTCCCATGGTACTGCTGAGGGCAAAGGGAAGGGCTGGGCAGTCACAGCCACTGCTCCCATTGCAGCTGAGAGGAGAATCACTGCTCCAACTTGCTCTCCGTGCTGATCACCCTGGTATTTTAGGATGAAGCACATCCTATTCCTTCTGAAACACTTTTCTCCTCCCCCCTGTGAAGCAGGTTTTTCCCCCATCTAGGCAGAGCTGCTTTCCTCAAAACCTATCTGCCCTGCCGACTATGGCAGGACAGCGTGTTCTTAAAGCAATAATTGCGGTGTTTAACAGGATCCTATCAAATCTCAGAAAGTTAAAGTTAACATGAACATAAGAGAATAGTAATACAAAACAGAAAGGGAACACACCTCTTCTGAAGCTGGTGGGTCATTTAGGGAAGCTGCTGCCCTCAGAAAGAAAGCATTACATTCCAGGAATCACATTTTTCTGGGCCTGAGCAGAGGCTGTGATGCAAAGCTCTCCCATGCCATAAGATACGGTTATAGCACTTCACCTCTCACTGGCATTACGTCTGGGATGAAGTTTGGACAGAAAGACCAGGAGCTGTGCTTCAAGCAGGCAACTCAGGAGTTTGCAGCCACACAGGGAATTTAGGCATCACAAACATGGATGAACCACATTAAAGTCAGCGGAAATAGTACACCCTCTCTGCTTGTGTTTGTATTTCTTTCTCCCTTGCATAGGTGCTGAGATCTTCTGCATCCACATGCCTGAGGCCTCTGGGTAACAGGGGGTTTTATTATTTTAACATGGAAGACCTACCAAAACCATTGTGGTAACACTACTTGTAAGATACAGAAAAGCTTTAATCAGATGAGGTAGAGAGGGAGAAGAGAAGATGAAGCCAAAGATTAGATGATCTCATGAGGCCCTTTCTCCGAATAACCTGAATAATCCTGTGAACCCAGAAAGCCAAGACACCATCATTTCATAGAAGCCAAACTGAGGAACAGTGAAAGCTGGGAACACTCACTGCCTGCAGGCATTGGGGCATCACCAGGARCCCACACAGGTTTGGGCTTACCTTCCTCCTGTTTCACAGACACTGTCCATCCTCCTCCCTCTTGATTTTTGATCTGCCTCTTCTCAGCCTTCCGCTCTTAACCTTGTTAATCCACATTCTCCACCTTCGCCAGTCTCCCACTGCAAAAGCTGCTCTCACCAGTATTTRTAAGTGTCACTCCCTTCTCCCACATCATCTCCCTCACTTTTAATAATTGTTTTGAGTGCATTGCAAAAGGTGCATCCTCCCYTTCTCCTTTGATGCTGCACAGTAACCACTGACTTGCACCCTCTTCACCCTTTATCAGGTGCTCTTCTCTCCATCTCTCCCACCCACACTGCTGGAGCTTTTCCTGYTGCTGGCTTCCTGTCTTCTGCTCCTGCTGGGAAAAGGAGCAGTGTTTGTGAGCACAGCAGGGTCACCCCTCAAATCTAGTGAGTGATTTATGGCTCTGTGCAGGCTGAATCTGACAGGAAAACAAACCAGAACCTCCCTGAAACAACTGAAGAGAAGGCAAGAGTCATTGCATAAACAAGGGACAGAAACATTAAACATTTTAAATTATATCTTTCCAGTCCATTTACTTTGTCCCTTTATAGTTTGCRAAGAAAAGAGAGACTTGGAATATTCCAGTTAAAGATTACCAGGAATGTGATTATCAGATAAGCAGYTCTAACTCAAGATCTTGTCTGTAATATTGGTTCATTAACCTGYTGATATATTAAAGACTCATTTATAGGCTCTGAGACAGTTTCATGTCATCTGTTTTCTAGTACAAAATATTCAGGGAATAAAAGTGTGTTTATTGTTCAGTGTTTCGGGAATTGATGTATACTTATGCCATCAACACATCACTTTTAAATATCCTAACTCACTAGAAAACCCACTTCCAGCACCTCTACAATACAGAAGGAAACTAAAAATCAGAGCAGCTGGAAAGGCTAAGGAAGACACTCATTGATCCGTTCCTTCATTGAGTCATTCTCTCATTCATTCATTCATTCATTCATTGATGCCCGCAGCCCGCGCTCCCTGCAGCGCGGAGATGGATGCGCGGCTGTCGGCTCCCCTCTGCTGGCGGCTACCCGGGCACGGAGCGGAGCGGCCACAGCCACCCCTCCCCGGGCCCTCACCTGCCAGCTGGAACTCAGCGAGGGCCCAAACCGCCCCAATAATCACAAAAGGATGCTTTTCCAGGCAGGTGCATGGGGAAGCTGTCGGCTCCCCTCTGCTGGCGGGTACCCGGGCACGGAGCGGAGCGGCCACAGCCACCCCTCCCCGGGCCCTCACCTGCCAGCTGGAACTCAGCGAGGGCCCAAACCGCCCCGATAATCACAAAAGGATGCTTTTCCAGGCAGGTGCAYGGGGAAGCTGACAGCAATTGTGACAGCAATTTTCACAAATTCTTTATGTCGAAACTGGTCACTTATTGTTGGGAGACCAGAGATGCTACCTGGGGTGAGGATGTCTTGACCTTCCTGTTATAAACACCAGGTTCTGTCATTACAAAATTCTGTGGCTATAAATTCTGTGATAATAAACCTTAATACTCATGCCTGAATATCTCCCTGCCTGACCTTAGCCTCAGACTGATAATTTTCAATTTTCTACCAAAACAGCTCAGCAACTCCTGTTAATACTGGGAACTGATTTTTTTTCTCTCTCTTTTTTCATTATATTATTTGCTAATTTTTTTCTGCCATGTTTTCTAGCAGTAATTTGAAATTTGGCAGCATATGTTTAGGAACTGTTTTATACTACCAAGTAGAATGTTGAACCCAATAATGTAGAACCCAAGCCACAAAACTCAGAATCAAAAAATGCCTCTCTGCCCAAGAGCAGCAAGAGACTTGSGAGTTTGGCAGCAACCCTCTCAGTACTCCTGTGAGATTGTACATCCAGCATCYTGTCAAAACACTGTCCTAAAGGAGCTAATAACACCTTTCCTACTGAGAGCAGCAGCTCAACAGACCTGCTGGGAGGACACGTGGCAGCAGCTCTCCCACCCAGGCAGGCTCTGAGTGCTTTTGGCAGGGAGCTGCCTGATGAGGAGCCCAGGATTGCTCTCCAGCCGTATCCTGAAAACAGGGAAGAATCTTCAAAGCTTGACTGTATCATTAAGCAATACCTGCAACTGAAKCATGCTTTTCTTTTGCAGTACCTGGTTAGGGATTTGGTTTTTTGTTTCTGACCATGGGGATTTTGTTACTGACTTGAWGAGAGCAGGTCATGACTTTAGCAAGGCAAATGCTTAAAATCCACTACATATATGAAGGGCATTTTTTTCTAAGCTCAGGAGGTCTGGTTTGAATCAATCCTGGCATCACAAAACTAAAGTCTCACTGACCTGGCTCAATGCCAAGAAAGAAAACTGTTTACCATTACTCATATTATTGTTATTATTTGAATTAAATTATGTATACCCTGAATAACAGACTCTTAAAATTTTTAAACAGTGGGGATAAAGGTGTCTTCCAGAGGTGCAGAGAGGCAGTCCTGAGCTACAAGTTTGTTTATTCATYGTAACGCAACACCTTGAAGAACAGGAACAGCCAAAGACATATCCTGTGCACCAGGAACAGCATCTCTCAGAGCAACTTTCTACCTGGGGGAACAGATGGCACCCCTTTGGCAGAGCTTTGCAGCCCAGGAACACACCTGGGCTGATTTTCTTCTGGGTGATTTTCTACTTCTTGAACTTAAACTAGCTGCTATGGTCTGCAGGCAAGGTACTCTGTGTTAATGAGCAACTTCTCAGTGGGAGCCCAGATCTACAACAGAAACAGGCACGGGCACAAAACTTAGGGCTTCCCATAAACCCAAAGGGAAATGAAAATAAAGGCTGCCTTGGTCCTTGAATTTCATTGAATTTTGGTCAAAACTTGCCATATTTCAACCTTTCATGTGTACACAAATGGGAGCATTCATGCACAATGCATGTGTCATGATTCTCATAGAATAGAACATGTATGTGTTTCATTGCATACACTGAGTAAATGAAASTTTCTTAGACTCATTAATGTTTTGTCAAGAAGAGAGATATTTACTGTATTGAAAGTGCAAGAGAACTTTATTTTCACCACTTGCCTAAACACCAGATAGAACCAACATTATCTACAAAGAAACAAGGAAAGGAAAAAATAATACAAAATACTGTGTTGGTTGTTTGAGTCAAATTTTCATGAAAATTATCAATCTTATGCAAATTCATAGCTAAGCTACCAATCAAGYACCAACATAAAAGCCCACAGGAAGGCAATAATGAAAGGCTGGTCACACTGCTTGCTGTCACAAGCTGTCACAAGTCACACAATTACAATTCTTTTACCATTCATAGACAAACTCACAGCACAGCCGTGATGGATGGGGCTGCTGATTGGGTAGATGCCATGGCTCAACAGAGGGACACTGTGCACAGCAGATAAATGGGAAAACAGTACCTGCAGAGAACAGTCTATATTCTACAATAACTGCYCCTAATGATAGACCCTGCCATAATTTCAGATCCAATTTCAGCAGCCAGTGACCACAGCCTTGAGGCTGATGAGGTGCTTGAGGGATTACGTGACACAGACATCCGTTTGCAGATAAGTGTGTAATTCCACTCTGCCTTTCCCCCTCAGTGATGGGTATGGATGCCTGGGAGGTGACTTTAAAACTACCATGGGAGGAGAACAGATTGAAATAATTTGAAAACCACTTCCACTCCTTAAGTGGCTCACAGGATTAGAAGCCACTGTGGTAATGCAAAAACCACTTGATTATCTTTAGGGACTTCCCTTTGGTGTTGAAAGATTTCTCAAGATGTTTTTGAAGCTCTGATGGAAAGGATTTACAATGGGAAGGTTGGCCAGGGGGGTCACCTCGTTTCGCCTACTAATTATATGATACAATAAGAAAAATGTTTTCTGTTCTTCTAAGCACCAACACAAAATGGTTTATTTTCAGTTTCATCAAATCTCCATTCAGACAAAGGACCCTAAAGGTCCCTTGGAAGCAGTAGTTATTGGGATGACTATTCACAGGCTTGGAGAGGGCAGCTCTCTTTCACACTTTCCTGAGGCTCTCAGACATAATTTCCAAACATCAGAGCTACTTGACATCCCAACCATTACTCTACACAGGGAGATTAAAAATTGGACTGTAATAACTTTACTGAAGTTGTATCTTGCACACACGCTCAGTAGGAAGGAGATTAATTGAAATGTKATTAAGAAAGGCTCATTAAAAGTTAGCTGTAGACAGCCAATCAGGTAGGGGGGTGTTTGAATTTCTTCTTCACATACTATTTAACCTACTTGAGAAAATTCTTTCAAAAATGAGGGGGGGAACTGTATTTTAGGAAAAGGTAGTTTTAAAACCTTAGTTTTAYGAAAAGGTAGACAACCACACGGACACAAACCCAACTTTTAACATTTCTGCTTGCATGTCAACCTCTCAGCTTTCAACAGAGCTTCCAAGAGCTCCATCTTGCTTTGCACTCACTATCCTGAATAAATTTAAACCATTTTTTTATCTTCCCAGCCAAAGYTGCAGACCAGCCATGGGTACACTACACTTGTCAATGCCATGCACTCTCCTGACCTSAGAGAACTCCCAGCCTCCCACAGCACCCATATGTCCCTGCTCATCATCTGAGGGCAACAGGGGACACAGAGACTTTGCAAATGAACACAAGAATCCAAGGAAGGGAATGGTCTTGCTTTCCATGCTTGAAATGACCAAAAACCTCTCTAGCCCCACAGCTAAAGCCCAAATTTTTTAGCTCAGCTTCCTCTACAGAATAAACTTCTTCCTTTCCTGCTTGGGCTTTTATTTATACAGTAATAATAAGTCAATTTTCTCAGCAGAGCTTTTCAGCTTTGGGGCCACAGGCAGCTGCTACAAGAAGCTGCAGAAATAGCATGGGATGTGTTTGCAGACACTCCAGTTTAGAGGTTCATTTTAGTCATCACTCTCTCTTTATCTGTACACTCAGTTTTTTGGATAAAAAATATTCTTGCATCGATCACGGAGATACTTCAGGACCAGAGCAGCCCATTTCAAGGGACAGAAAAGCAAAAGGGGGAAAAATCATATTAAAATTTTAACTCTGGGCATCTGCCAGTTGGTCAGCTTTCCCTTATTCCCCTCATGAGACCTCACTACCTCATGCCTCCACARAGCCCCAAAGACCCCACTCCCTGTGGGACTCTGCCAGAGAGGAAGAGGATGAGGATGAGGAAAAAGAGGACAASGAGGAGGAGGAAGGGGACAAGGACGAGGAGGAAGCCTTCAACCACCTTCTTAGCTACTGGTTCCACAGGGACTCGGGGTGAAAAGTCCTTCTGGCCTCCTTCTTGCCCATTGCTAATGCCTCCCCAGAGCTTTGTCCTCCAGCAGATCCCTGCCACTGTCCTTCCTGTCCTGTGTCTCCCAATGTCCACCCAAGGTACACAACTGTTACTTCCCAAGGTTGCCAAGCAAACCTGCCCTGGCCTATGGTTGGAAATAAATGTTTCCAAAGAGCTCCTGCTCTTCCTTGAATGCAGCTCCTCACAATGGGCACGCTGCCAGCCATCAAGGAGACCTTCATCATCATCTCAATGACCTTAAAATTGACAAGGATTAATTTTCTTGGACTTGGCAGCCCTTTTTTCTCATTTCTGACTACATTAATAAAGCTTTTAAAGAAATACCAAAGGAAAGCACTCGTGTGCTTGTTCTATTTCCTTCAGTGTAGCCTTTTTAACAGTTTTATGCTACATTTCTGCACTGGCAAACCAGCTGATTTTGACAGTGGTATGTGTGACATCAGATATCAGCTTAGAGCAGAGAAAATAATTATAACAGTCAGTGCCTTTCTGAGAATTTGTTAAGAAGATCAATAAGAACAGGAGCACTTTGACTTTTCTTATTATGGTTTCTTTGGCAACCCCGGGAAATAACATAGGTAAAATTATAGTCCCATCACGCTCCATGTGCTGACAGTACATCGTACATAATTGTGTGCTTCCCACCAGAAAGATTACTTAGTATAATCCCAAACAATCTTTTCCCTCTGCTGTTTTAGGTGTTTCATCATTTTCACAGCTTGCAAAGCCCTAAAAAATCAAAGARGAAAACAAAACCCCTTGAATTGGTTTTGCTATTGTCTGGCTTTGAGAGCTTATGACAGCACCAACTTAGTTTGTCTGGCAGCAATAATCCTAGATTATTCAAAACKAAGAAGTGGGTGTGTAAATCATGCAGTCTTTCTGGAAAGATTTGGTTTTGCAGTTTGTCAGAATCTTTCTCCCCCTAGAGGATCAGCTCCAGTACTTCCCAGAGCATCTTTACTTGTGGCAGAACCTGACTGGCTGCTGTTTTCAAAGCACAA